TTTTACGTCACTGAAAGAAGGCGTGGCATCGGGGAATGTTATATATGTGTGCGGTTGTGTTAGTCTGCAACTCATATAACACATAATCTATGGGCCGCCACCTGAGTCCACAAGAAATACGCTACAAGTAACCATGATGATCGTTTTGAGCTATCTATGTTGAAAGGGATACCAGCTACTTGATTATTCAAAAAAAAAAAAAAAGGCGAGTTTGTTTTGAAGCAGGTGAAGCATACACGTCGATCTTCTCTGAGGTTGTAAATATGTTACAGGCTCCATTGGTTTCGTTTTGTCATTAAAACAGAACGATATAGCAGAAATTGGTTTGAAAGTCTCTTCGATACACTCAGAGACAACCAAATGTTATGATCTTAGAGCACCAGCAGAGTGAATCAAATACAGTGCAACAGGGTATATTAATGGATCACGACTTGAGAGTTTAATCTGTATTAATCACGGGATTTTTTTTTACTTTGTGGTGAGTAGTGTTTGTTTCTTCTTTAGTATTTTGTATATATCGTCTGAAATTAGAATTAGCTGGAACGTATTTTATAATAAAAGCTGCCGATATCGAAGAGCTAATTTTAACGAAAAATGTTGAAAGATAATATGTTAAAGTAAGAATAAATTAGAAAAAAAAACAGGAAAATGTAAGATAATGTTACATCGCATGAATTAAAATCAATGAATCATTTCTGTAAGTAAGAGGACGACAAGCGTAATTACTTCTGTTTCATTATCTTTAGCAAGCTGCCTCCCCCCTCCCAGTGGCACAGCGGCACGTCTGCGGACCTCCAACGCTAGAAAACCGGGTTTCCTTACCCGTGGTGGGCAGAGCACATATAGCCCATTGTGTAGCTTTATGCTTAATTACAAACAAACAAACAAACTTTAGCAAGCTGAAAATTTTTACGGCCAGTAATACTATGCACCATCAGAAACGAGTTTGTTTTATTGTTAAACACAAAGGGTGCACCCTGAATTTTAGCGTTATAAGCCCTCAAGCTTACCTTTGAGCCACAATGAGAGGGGGAAGGCAACAGAAAAGAGGTGTCTGTGTATGAAATACATTTTAAAAAGCAGTAAAATAATGTTGCCTCATATATATATGTGCTTGTGTGGATTTTTCAGTTGTTTGGCTTATTTTCAGACGTGTTGTTTTTTCAAAATTTCAAGGTGAAAAATCTATACCATGATTTACCAAGCATCACAGAATTATTCTTTAAACACATTTGAAAATATTGCTTTTGTTTGATTGTGGTTAAGCTCAAAGCTTCACATTGGGCTATCTGTGCTCTGCCAACCACGGGTAACGAAACCCGATTTTTAGCATTTTACGCTTTCAGACATACCGCTGAGCCGTCGGGGGGTTAGAAGTATTGTAAATATTGGGATGGGAGTTATCTGAAGAGGAGATTAGTTCTGACAACCCAGTTGGTATAGGTTCAGCTTCAGGGGCAATAGTATAAGTCGAGCCCCGTCCTGATTCATCATAGTATATTGATCAACATTAATGTTATCTTTAAAGATGTGTTTTTTATCTATGATATAGACATATATTTTTGTTTAAAGATTTACATTGTTCAAAACTAGAATCGTAGTTTTCGTCATGCAGAATATATACACCTGGAAAAAAGTTAAGCACCCCCGTGTTTTTTTCAAGTGATTCAGATTCGACGTTCTTGTGACTGATTATAAATTACCATTCAATCTAAACGTGTTTATCAAATGAAATTATGCATTATTGGGCACAAGAAACAAGATTATCACCGTAAAATAACAATTTTTAATTTACATATCATAGGCATCAAAATATGGACAGTTTTCACGC